AGGGGGAAATAGCCAAACATGTCCAACATTTAGGTGACACAGGCATTCACAAGACCCCTACTCAGCTGCTGCCTACCCCCTCAGGCACATAAATTCCCTAGGCACCTAGGTTTCCACCATTAAAGTGCCCAAGGTGCCTAAACTTTGGCAGCTGGGCCTGCACTCAGCCTCCTGAGTCCTGACATTGCCCAAGCAGCTTGGCACTGAGTACATGCCCAATCCCCAGCAGGATTCATAAACTAGGTGCACCCCTGCCTAACCTGACTTTGGGGCCTGATCCAGCAGATGTGCTCAGATGAGGTGCCACCCTTATATGTGCTTAAAGTTTAGTACTTGCTTAAATACCCTGCCAAACTGGGACCTTGGGATCAGGGACAGTTGAAACCAAGTATCCCAGCTTACAAGTTTGAAATGTCTTTTTGTTTCCAAGTTTTAGCTAATTAGACTGAAAAGTGCTTGAGGCCAAATAGAAAAGTGTGAGAGAATCCACAGGGTATAGTCAAATTTCCAAAATGTTAGGGTTTGCAAAGAAATTCTGCCCCACACACTCAGCACTCCATGAAAGGACTCCAGTTCCCTCCATGTCCCTGGCCAGCCCTTTCCCTATTTTTTTTCTTTTTACTGAAACAGACACAAACCAAGAGGCGGAAGATTGTATCTTGAGAACAACTCCTGCTGGCCAAGATAGACGAGCAGATTCTGAAGATCCAGAATGAAAATAAATCACTAAACTCTCTGAGGAGATTTCCTGTCTCAGGGAGCTGATCAGGGAGCTAGAGGGGAAGTATCAGAAGCCACTGAGTAAATTCCTGCAGACGAGACTGTGTTAGAAACATCCCAGATCTCAACGCAGGGAGAGGACAGCTTCTGAATTGTGGACACTGGGGCCTGGTCCACACTAACCCCCCACTTCGGACTAAAGTACGCAAATTCAGCTACGTTAATAACGTAGCTGAATTCGAAGTACCTTAGTCCGAACTTACCGCGGGTCCAGACGCGGCAGGGAGGCTCCCCCGTCGATGCCGCGTACTCCTCTCGCCGAGCTGGAGTACCGGCGTCGACGGCGAGCACTTCTGGGATCGATCCGGGATCGATTTATCGTGTCTAGACCAGACGCGATAAATCGATCCCAGAACATCGATTGCCTGCCGCCGGACCCGGAGGTAAGTGTAGACGTACCCTGGGACTAGCAGTCAGAGATCGCAGTGTAACTCAGTGTAGACATGCCTGAAATGTGAATGACTATTGATCTTTGAAGGGTTACAGACACATAGATATTGGAGATGGAAATACCCCATTCAGCAAGGCCTTTTACACCATATTAGCAAAATCTTGTTCAGGATCCCCATGTGTGTGAGTGTCAGGTGGGACTGAGATTCCTTTACTTCATGTCACCCAGTTTTGCACATCATTGTCTCTTGCCCTCATTTTTCGTCCATTTATTTTTGTCTCCCCCTAAATCTCCTTTATTCCCTATCACAGATTATTCCAACTTGTGTTCCCAGTTCTCCTCCCTGAGTTTATCCCTTCCCCCTTGCACTTCCCCCTTAGTTTTTCCCTTCTCAGGATTGCTTTGTTTTCACTCTTTTCATCAGTTTCCCACCACCATACTCCTTTCCCCAGGCTTCTCTGTTTACTTTTGTTTTACTTCATTATTGCCTGGGTTTTTTTCCTTTCCTTTCTTCTCCCCCCAAAATACCATGCAGCCAGACAACCTTTAGTATCTAAAACTGAAGATTTTATTATGGATGAAAAGAAAAGAAAAGAATGTTATTAAACATCAAAGAAGTCAGATACATATGTTAGACTTCAGAGTCCATAAATCAGATTCTTAGCAGTGAATTTGCTGGCTAGTAAAGTTCCTCTGTAACACATGCACAGCTTGGATGGGTCATTTGGGCCTGGGGCTGGTTTTGTTCAACATCTTTATTAATGATCTGGATGATGTGATGGATTGCACACTCAGCAAGTTCACAGATGACACTAAGATGGGGGGGGGGATGTAGATACACTGGAGGGTAGGGATAGGTCCAGAGACAAATTGGAAGATTGGGCCAAAAGAAATCTGATGAGATTCAACAAGGATACATGCAGAGTCCTGCACTTAGAAAAGAAGAATCCCATGCACCGCTACAGGCTGGGGACCGACTGGCTAAGCAGCAGTTCTGCAGAAAAGGACCTGGGGATTACAGTGGATGAGAAGCTGTATTTGTGAGTCAGCAGTGTGCCCTTGTTGCCAAGAAGGCATATTGGGTTGCATTAGTAGGAGCATTGCCAGCAGATCGAGGGAAGTGATTATTTCCCTCTATTCGGCACTGGTGAGGCCACATCTGGAGTATTGTGTCCAGTTTGGGGGCTCCCCACTACAGAAAGGATGTGGACAAATTGGAGAGAGTCCATCAGAGGGCAACAAAAATGACCAGGGATCTTGGGCACATTACTTACGCGGAGAGGCTGAGGGAAATGGGCTTGTTTAGTCTGCAGAAGAGAAGAGTGAGAGGGGATTTGATAGCAGCCTTCAACTACCTGAAGGGGGGTTCCAAAAAGGATGGAGCTCAGCTGTTCTCCGTGGTGGCAGATGACAGAACAAGGAGCAATGGTCTCAAGTTGCAGTGCGGGAGGTCTAGGTTGGATATTAGGAAACACTATTTCACTAGGAGGGTGGTGAAGCACTGGAATGGGTTACCTAGGGAGGTCGTGGAATCTCCATCCTTAGAGGTTTTTAAGGCCCGGCTTGACAAAACCCTGGCTGGGATGATTTAGTTGGTGTTGGTCCTGCTTTGAGCAGGGGGTTGGACTAGATGACCTCCTGAGGTCTCTTCCAACCCTAATCTTCTATTATTCTATGATTCAGTCCTTTTTTCAGAGCTTCAGTTCATCGAGCAGTTATTCCAGAGGTTGTGAGAAGCAGGACTGAAGACAAAATTGGGAAGATGCAACTGTCTTTTATATCCTTTCCATGTGGCTTGTACATCCTTTGTCTCAAACATAGCCACAGCATATGGGCATAGAAAAGTCTTAGAGTTCCATATTCACTGGCCTGCCCCTACATGTCCCGCTGACACATAAGGTGAAGCCCCTGGCTTCTTTCAATGGGTTCATTGTACAGCTGATCGCTCTTGAAAGGCCTTTGAATAGGCTAGATAGTGCTGATGCAAATCTGTTTAGGGGTGTCACCCAGAAACACAGCTCAAGTTTGAAATACAGGTATATCACACATATTTGTAATTCACAGTAGAATGATGATACAAACATATAAATAAGATGATCATACTTGGCAAATCATAACATTTTCATTAATACCTTATACAGCACATCTGGTAAGATTCATTTTAAATTTATAACACTGGTATCAATAATATCATAAAGTGTCACAACATTCCTCTCCGCCCCCAGCTGCTTCTCCTCAACATAGCATCCCTTCCCTGGTGACCTGTAGGTCACACTTGGCAGTCCCTGGGTCTCCATTTTCCAGGCTCCCTGCTGGTGCAGTGCCTCCAGCTTCTCCCCAAACCTCCCAAATCCCAATTAATTAGTTTGGTGTCCCTGCCACCCCCCACATCTGTGTGTTCCCCAGCCCAACTGGTAATTAGAGCCCCAGACCCCACAGCACTTCTGTCTCTGACCCTCCATCAGTTCTGATCCTGCAGCCCTCTGTCTGTCCCTCAGGGACCCTCTGCTCCTCCTGATGCTTCAGGGGTTCTTCAATCCCTTCCCATTCCTAGGGCTGTTGGGAGGGAGGGGGCAGGAGTGTCATAGAGATGAGGTATTAGTGGTTGGGTGGACAGATGTTCTCCAGGGTCAAAGAGATGAGCCAGGGGGTAGGTAGATGAGAGTCCTGCATGATCACAGACACTAGGATGACTTAGGCTAGAGAAGGCCATTTTTTATTCTCAGTGGGCTGTTCCCACCATGTCTCAGTGCCACTGTCTGACTTCCTGCGCCATAGAGGACAGTGACAAACAGGCTGAAAAATCCTTGGGTCAATGAGATTGGCTTCTCTATAGGGTTACCATATTTCCACAATCAAAAAAGAGGACACTGGGGAGGGGAGGAGCCCTGCTCTAGCCCCGCCCCTGCCCTGCCCCGCCCCCATCCACTCCCTCCCACTTCCCACCCCCTGACTGCCCCCCTCAGAACCCCCAACCCCCTCGCTCCTTGTCCCCTGACTGCCCCCTCCTGAGAACCCCCCACCCTAACCACCCCCCTAAGACCCTACCTGTCCCCTGACTGCCACGACCCTTATCCACACCCCCACCCCATATTCACACCCCTGCCCCCAGACAGACCCCTGGGACACCCATGCCCTATCCAACTGCTCCCCGCCCCCTGACAAGACCCCCAGAACTCCCAACCCATCTAACGCCCTCTGCTCCCTGCCTGTCCCAACCCTTCTCCACACCCCTGCCCCCAGACAGACCCCTGGGACACCCATGCCCTATCCAACTGCTCCCCGCCCCCTGACAAGACCCCCAGAACTCCCAACCCATCTAACGCCCTCTGCTCCCTGCCTGTCCCAACCCTTCTCCACACCCCTGCCCCCCTGACAACTCCCCCCCAAACTCCTGACCCATCCAACCCCCCGTCCCTGTCCCCTGACCAGGGCCGGCTTTAGCAAGAGCCCAGGAATCGGGCTGCGCTCCAGCCAGGGTCGCGGGGCTTGGGGACGGACCGGCGTGCTCAGCCGGAACCGGGGCTGGCGCCCCGGGGCCCGAGCCGAGACAGGCTGGAGCCACTGGGGCCAGGGCCAGAGCCGCTGGGGCTGGAGCCGGGGGTTCTCGGCCAGAACTGGTGCCGGTGCCCTGGGGCCCAGGCCGGAGCCGCTCGGCCAGGGCCGGACTGGGCCGCGCCGTGCCTCCCTGGAGCCCTCCTTCTCACGTCCCCCCCCGCCCTAGCCTTACCCCCCCCCGCCCCAGCTTACCTGTTGCTGCTGCCCGCCTGCCCCTGCTTGTTTTCAGACTTCCCGCGAATCAGATGTTCACGGGAAGCAGGGGAGGGGGAGGAGCAGGGGTCAAAGTGTTCAGGGGAGGGGAGGAGGGGGAAGACAGCTGCGGGGCTGGGGGCATGCTAAGGCTGCAGGGGATGGGGGGAGCCAGGAAGGGGCTTTGCCGCCAGTTTTCGATCTATAAAATAGCCGACCGGGGGGAAATCCCAGACATTTTTAGATTTTTAGAAATCCCCCCGGACGGCTATTTATAGACCGAAAAGCTGGACATGTCCAGGGAAATCCGGACGTATGGTAGCCCTATTCTCTATCTCAATCACCCCCAGACACCCCACAGAGCCTCCAGGGCAATAGAGACTGCAGGGTAGACAGGAGGCTTCCAGGGTCATAGAAAAAAGGAAGTGTGAGGCTAGAGAGGTTAATTTCACGTCCCCCGGGTATATCTCCTCCCCCACCCCTCTCAGGGACTAAGTCTGAGCTGGGATCCTCCCACCCAGAACCAGGGTCGGATTCTCTCTCCAGGGACCAAGGCCAGTGGGAAAGTGAACAGTGGGCTCTCGTCACCAGCATCGAAAAATGTCACCTGCCCCCGTTCACAGTCCAGACAAACCCGGATCCTCCTGGGGTCCCAGCTCACAGGTAGAGGGGTGCGTGGGGAAGTGAGAGCCTGGAACTGATCCCAGCACCGCTCCACAGCCCAGATTCCCTGCTCAGGGTTAGGGCTGATCCCTCCCTTCCTCATCACAGACTCTCTGGTCACCCCCACAGCCCAGTATCCCCTATTACCCACCTCCACCCCCCAGCAATGTCTCCCCGCGGTGAATCCCTCGCACCCCAGCACACAAATCTCAGTGTCAAATCTTTCAGGATTGTTGGGCAGATCCCATCGTGTGTCTTCCCATCTCACACTTTTCCGATCCTCAGACAGGATGAGCTGGGGATGAGCTGTGTCTGGATCCAGAGTCACATTCACTGCGGGGAGAGAGAAGCAGAGCGTTAGGGGCAAAGCTCAGCCATGGGGGAGGCTGGGACCTTTTCTCACACTCCCCAGCAGCCCTGTTCTGGCTGGGACAGTCCTGGACCCCAGGGAGCTGCCTCTGCCCTAGGTACCTGAGACTGAGCAGTTCCTCAGCCTCGGCAATGGGAGCCACTTTTGCATCTTCTTATTTGGCTATCGAGCAGTGGTTCTGAAACTGTTACAGGGGTTCTTGGGAAAAAAATTCCCTAATGGCAGAGAGAGCTGTCCATAGGGGCCCCGGGCAGCATGGGGCCAGCAGCCCAGAGCATTGGGGACTTCCAAGAGCTAAGCAGATCAAAGCAAGCATGTCTATCATACTGAGGAGATTTAAACTGCAAGACTCCTTATATTAAATAAAAAGGGAGGTGAATATTTTTTGCTGTTTTTAAAATTAAATAGGCTGCTAGTGCTGTTTTTAAATTATTGTGAAGAACGAGTTTAAGCTTTGTTGTAATGTGCATTGTTTGCCTGGACTGCTCAAGACCTGAATGTTTATGTAGGAGGAACTCTTTGAGTTTGCTTCTTAAATACCTTCATGCTGTTTCACTTCTGATACTCCTTGGTGTAACATAGGAGCCAGAGGCGCCAGTACGGGGGGGTGATGAGGGTTACGTGCTGCCCCCACGTCGGTGTGCCCCGCACATGGGTCCCTCCCCTTTTTTTCTGGCGGCCCCTGTGGGCCCCCCCACTTTTCCGGTGATGACCTCCAGGACCTGGGGTGCACGGGGGGCTTTGCCCCCACACCCGTTTTTTCTACTGGCGCCTCTGATAGGAGCCTTGTCTTATAACAGGCTTAATCAAAAATGATACAAGCTACAAAAGTGAGCTCTTGGAAGAGTGTTGCAATTTTCATAATGTAATAAAAATACTGTAACGATAAATAATAATTAATAAATAGTGTGTAATAAGCATGTCATAAAAACACATTTTATATTTCCAAGATCACTGCTTTTATAATTTATGCTGAGGTAAGGGGAAAAAATCTCTGGAAATATTCATTTTTAGGAGGGGGTTCACGAGACGTGACATTTCAGTGAAAGGGGTTCGCGGGTTGTTAAAGTTTGGGAACTCTGCTATAGAGGCAGTAGCTCCCTGTTCTGTACCTGGGGCTGCTTCATTCCCAGTGGCAGAGACACAGCAAAGAAGGCACAAAAAGCTTTGAATTAGGAGGATCCAGAGACGCAGGTACCAGCTTTGAACCGCAAAGGGAAGCTCCCTCCCAAAATTGCATCCTCCACTCCCAGGCCACGGACCAGAGATGAAGATGCAGCATTGGGGAAGAGCCAATGACTCCAGGCCAGTGAGCAGGAAGCAGGAGGTGGCATTGGGTGGGACAGCCCCTTCCCCAAACCATAGAGAAGGGAGGGCTGCAGGTGGCAGCACTAGAGAGACACCGACTCCCCAATCCACAAAGTAGCTCTAGTGGCAGAGCCCAGCCCTGCCCAAAGGAAAGGTAGGATCTGGAGAAGAGTCGGGGGCAGAGTCTCACCCCAGGTGAAAGGGAGAGGATGTGACAGCCGTGAGGAGAGAGCTGTCTCCACTGGCACTGATTACCCTGGATTGAATATTGAAAAGGCTTGTCCATGACAATATAAATTCTCAGATCACAATTAAGGGGTTCTGGAGCTGGGCAGGGAGAATGTGTCTGGTTACTGGTGTGGGGGACAGTTGTTTTCATGGGATTTTTCTGTTAATTGAAGGAAAATCTCCCCCAGGGCTCACTCTTGGTGTGTGATCCCAGAGATCCCCCCTTCCCTGCTCTAGCTCAGGTAGCAAAGAGTCTGGAGGGGGAAAGAATCACAGAGATTAGAGCACATGGTCTCTGATTTACAACGCCAGCCCAGGGAGCTGCTTCTCTGCCCCAAGTGCCTGAGCCCAAGCAGAAATGCCCTGGCAGTTCCTCCCCCTGGCTGCTGGAAGCTGCTGTGGGGGCTGCAGAAACTGCCTCTCTCCCCCTTTCCCAGCTGCATCTGGGGCTGCTCCTCAGAGGATTAGAGAGGAAGGTCTGAATCTGAAGTTGCAGGGAGGGGTAAATTTAGCTACAAGTACCTGTTTTCACAGGATTTTTCTCTTCATTGAATGGTAATCTCCAAAATCTCACCTAGTCTGTATGATCCCAGGGATTTCCCTCTTCTTGTCTCTACTTCAGAGGGCAGCACGTCTGGGGGCGGGAAAGGATAAAAGAGATGAGATTTCATGTTGTCGTATTTATACCGACATCCCCACTCTTAACTGTCATATCTCTGTTTTAATTATCAAAGAGAAACAGTTTGAGACAGAGACACCCCCAGATCTGTCTTTAAAAAGCTAATCTGAAACATTCTATTTTCTCTTTCATTCAGCCATCACAAATCAACAGAACTAGCATCCATTAAGTTCAAAGCCATCCAAGGAGATATGATGTGGAAGACAGATTTCCTGTTCCCTCATCCTCCAGACCCCAGTTGGTTTGTCTCATTCTCCTTTTGCATTTTGTCATAAATTAGACAGATCTTCCAAAGATTTTAGCATGAATGTAAGTTTACACACTTTGGTCAGTTTGAGATCTGGAATGCTGAGACTTTTCAAGGCCCTAATCCTGCATTGTAAGCTATTTTGTCTATTTACTCAGTATCTGTACAGAGCTCAGCACAGTGGGGCTCTCGTCCTTCATAGACTGAAATACAAATAACAAAATTCTTTACAGATGTGGAAATTGAGGCGGGGAGAGGATTGGCTCAATGGGCCTGATTCACCCCTGCACTGGTAAAGAGACAGAAGGGAAGCAATTTGTGGGTCTCCTATTCTTGGCTTCAGGGGCTAGCGCAGACCTTGGGATAGGCTATAGAAGTCCTGAGGTCTAGCTACAGTTGCACCCCTGTTTCACTGGCCCCTATATGGCTTTGACAGGAACAGAGTATCAGAGGCACAAATTTACCCTGGCCACACTCCTCTGTCCCTACTCCACCCCTCTCTCCTCTGCCCTGCCCTCAACAACTCCACTTTCCCCGCTCTCCCAGGAACACTCCTCCTGCCTATGTAACCCACACCTGCTTGGTGTGGTGCTCTGTCTCCCTCTAGTGGCATCTAGACCATCTAGAGATTGGTGAATCTGCTACAGTCATGTGGCTTTTAGCTCATCCAATAGAGACGCATACACTCAGCTTGAGAAATCCCAGGTTTGATCCCGATGACCAGGGTCAGTCAACATTACACCTGCAGCTGCTGTGGAGTAGGCACAAGAGGCTCCTGTTCTGGAGGGATTCTCCAAGGTGTGCACCTTCCCTACAAACCTCTTTGACCCTCACGACCTGCCAGAGCACAATGACAGACTGGGTCCACATTTCACAAGTGCCTTGAATTTAGGGTCTAAATTTTGGGTGCGACCTTTAGGCACTTGGAGTCTGGTTTTCAGTGGCATTGGGCACCTGCAGATCCTACTGACTCCAGCTGCAGCTGTGGATGCTAAACAGCGCTGGAGCGCATGCCCTGAAGTTCTGTAGTTGGGAGAGAGAAACTGAGGTATCCTAAATTTTGCTGTATTTTTACATTAATGATTGTACCAAAGCTGATAGAGTGAATCAATGTGAGAAATCCTCATGCCTGGGCTTCTGCGATGACATCTGCTTAGTTTGTCTACTTTCCACTTTTTATTACATAGATACATAACCTAATTATGATCAAAGGGCCAGAGCCCATCTCCTCCCACAGCCTCAGAGACACAGCCTCATTTCCCCTCCTAGATCCCTTCTTGGTACCTTTGAACTTCCTCAGAGTCTCTGTTACAGCAATATTTTTCTGGGCAAAATCCTTGAGTCTCTTTTCCAGCTCAGGAGAAATCTCCACTGGCTGCTGGAACATCCCCTTCTCACACCTGGAAAGAGAAAGAATTTCACGTTATTACATTTCATTTACTAACTCACTATAATTCCTTGCTACAGGAAGTTGCTGCTCTAAGGTGCCTGGAATTAAAATTCCTCCACTTCCCCCAGCCTCAGAGCAGGTGCAGAACAGGCCATGGCAGTACAACCTTCCCTCCAAAGGTCCCATTCATATTCTTCAACTCTGGCCTGGACAGAGCAGATCTGATGATAAAAGAGGAATCAAGTTTTGATGGCCAGTTCTCTCCTTGGTCTCCATGCACTAATACTGGTATGTTCCCATCTCCCGTGTGTGCATAGTGTTATGGGATCTTTCTTCAGGAACTAGACTGAGACCTCAGTTCCCTCTAAACCAGCTCATTCCACACACGTCTCCAAAGAGTCCTCAGGTGGTAAAGACTCTTGAGCACTGCTGACTGGTGCATGATTTTACCCAGTGCCCTGGGGGTGAAAGAACCATATTCCATCCCCAGAATCCTGAGGCAGCCTGTCCCCCACTAGAAAACATTTCAGATAAATTTTCCCCACTGAATAGATCATTCTAGAGGCTTGTATAACAGGATTTGAACCTCAGGATTAAGTTCATCAGAGAGATTAGTATCCAAATGTGACCCTGCACCACACATTTTACTGTAGAGCCCTGGGGAGATGTGGTGTTAATATGGTCTCCAAGCCCTTTCCCAACATCATAAAGCACAAGGGGGAGTGATTGAGAACCACATACCTGCTCAAGGTGCTTTTGAAATCCTAGAGGGGAGAGAGACAGAAAAACAATCTCAGTACCCACCTGCCACATTCTGGGGAAGCCAGAGAAGGGATTTTGCAGATATGGGGGAAAGAGGCACTGCCCTGGCCTCAGGGCCATGCACTGGCTGAGCTAATGTCATCTCTAACATAAATGAGTCTGTAACTCTTCAAAGAACAATAGGAATTCACATGTAACAATGCACACACTGAATTACACTGTGATCTCTGACAGCTGGACTCCTGTGCCCATGATTCAGGAGCTGTCCTGTCCCTGTGTTGGGATCTGGGATGTTTCTAACATAGTCTCACCTGCAGGAATTCACTGGCTGGCTTCTGACACTTCCCCTCCAGCTCACTGATCAACTCACTGAGACGGGAAATCTCCTCAGAGAATTTAGAGATATTTTCATTCTGTATCTTCACAATCTCCTTGTTCAGCTTCTCCAGCTGGGCCAGCAGGAGTTGCTCTTGTTCCTCCAGGAACTGCCGCAATTGCCGAAATTCAGACACAATCTTCTGCCTCTCGCTTTGCGTCTGTATCTGTTTAAAAAGAAAAGGAAAGGGCAGGCAAGGGACATAGTCTAGGATCCTTTCACAGATTGCTGAGTGTGCAAGAGAGAATTTTTTTTGCAAACTCTAGACGTCTGATACTTGACTATTCCCTGGGGTTTCTAGGGTGAGGATTTTCTAACACCCTCCTATTTGGCCCTGATACCTCTTAATGGGATGTTTCCATGTCTGACATGGCCAGAGCACTGTGTTATCAGAGGCCTGTGCCTATCATGATCCAGAGCAGCAGAAGGCAGAACTCAGCACTACATTGACAGAGATGCTAGGGAGAATGTGGGAAATGACGGCAGACTTGGGCAGACAACTCTGCATGAGACATAGTCAATTCCCCTCTGGGAGGAATTTTGTGAAAGCCGCAAGGGCTAGAAATTAACTCATTAATTGGAATGGGAGCTTAGATTCTGCAGAATAAGATGTTGTCCTGCTCAAGAGAGAGGGTTTCTAAGGCCCTGTCTATGTATGTGTGCGCACAGTAGGGTTACCATATTTTGTGCCTCCAAAAGGAGGACACTCCCCGGGGCCCCGGCCCTGCCCCCAGCCCCGCCCCAACTCCGCCCCTTCCCCAAAGTCTCCGCCCCCTCCCCTGCTTCCCGCGAACATTTGATTCGCGGGAAGCCTGAAGCAGGTAAGGGTGGTATGGGGGGAGGAGGCGCGGCCCAGTCTGAGTTGGCTCGGGCCCTGGGGTGCCGGCCCCGGGCCCGGCCTCCGGCCG